CCTCCCCCACACTCCTCAGCCTCCATGAAAAAACTACAAGCACAGTAAGAGGGGACACCGGAACTTGCAGACATTCTCAGCCACACACGGTCCTGCCCCGGGTCCGCAGAGCTGGGCAGCAGACCGTCCAAGCTGCCTCCCGGGACCCTGCGGTCACACACGACCGCAGCAGTTCCTGAGACCTGATCTGGTTTTGCTTTCATTGTGTCGTGCTCACGCCTACCCTCGCCTTTCATCCCGTTGCCTACCCTCGCCTTTCATCCCGTTGCCTACCCTCGCCTTTCATCCCGTTGCCGCCAGCACATCAGGCCCTGTGATCAAGAAGAGAAACCTGCCTGGCGGACGTGGCTCAGTGGCTGAGCGTGGACCTATGAACCAGGAGGTCATGGGTTGATTCCCGGTCAGGGCACATGCCCGGGCTGCGGGCTCCATCCCCAGTGTGGGGCGTGCAGGTAGCAGCCGATTTATGATTCTCTCATCATTGACGTTTCATCTCTCTCTCCCCCTCCAGGAGTTGGTAAGCTCCAGGTCGGGTGGCTGCTGCAGGAGGCCTCCCTGGGCCGCCTGAGAGGGCCTGGTCCCCTCTGCAAGCAAATGAGCACCGGTGATGCCATGGGACAGAGCCTCCCAGCCCAGTCCGCCTTACCAGCATGCCCGGGAACCCCGAGGGGCAGCACCGCTGGTGGTCTCCCTGTGTCCAGCCCCAGTGCCAGATGGCGTGGGTGAGGGCCAGACAGCCCCGTGCTAACCCAGCTCTAGACACGTGAGTCCTCTCACAGACCTGTTCCTGCACCGGAAACATTGTTCACAAAGCCAGGCCCAGAGCCCAGGTGCCCTGCGCCTCAGTCCAGTGTCTTCTCCACCCACCCCATCAACATTGATTGGGAGCCTTCTAGGAGCCAGCGTAGTTCTAGAATCTTGGGGACACATCCCTGAACCCCAAGAAGCCCCTGCCTCGTGAGCTTACATTCTAGTTGGGGGTGAAAGGAGAGAGATGATTAAAATAAAAAAGGAAATAGAAACAGTAGGTACTATGGGGGTGTGTGAAAGTGAAGCACCAGGAGGCAGGGGGGAAACCCCGGGCAGGTGCGTGCTGGTCAGGCCTCACTGACACGCTGACACTGAGGAGGCAGAGGGGTGGGCTCCGCTGGCACCTGGAGAAGGGAATGCCAGGCAGAGGGAACGAGTGCGAAGGCCTGAGGCGGTGTGGAGAGATCAGGAGGGAAAGAAACAGAGACGGTGCAAACAGCCCCTTGCCTCCAGGAAGCCCGGCAACGAGGAGAGGTGGCTCACCTTGCAGGGGGCAGGGGCAGTGCCCACGGGGCATCTTCTGCCTG